GAAGAGATTGAGATTGTTAACAGTTTCAGTTTGCTTGGCTCAACAATCAACATTCTTGGTAACAGCAGCCAGGAACTCAAAAGACGAATTGCACTGGGAAAGTCTGCTGTCTGAGACCTCTCGAAACTACTGAAGAGCAGTGATGTCAGTCTGGAGACTAAGATGTGCCTGATCTAGGCCATAGTCTTTGCCATTACTTGCTATGCTTCAGAGTGCTGGACAATGACTAGGAATGATATAAGGAGAGTTGATGCATTTGAGCTGTGGTGCTGGAGAAGAGTGTTGACTACACCATGGATTACTAGGAGAACAAACAAGTTCGTCCTGGAGAGGATGAAGCCAGGCTGCTCCTTGGAGGCAAGGATTGTGAAGCTCTGTCTGACATACTTTGGACATGTTGCAAGGCACGATCAGTCCTTGGAGAGGAAAATCATGCTTGGGAGGGTGGAAGGAGAGTGCAGGAGAGGAAGACCGTCGACGAGATGGATTGGTTCAGTGACTGGGGTAATGGGGCCCGTGTTGGAGACAATAAGATTGGCACAGGTTAGAGCAGTGTTTAGGACTTTTGTACATAGGGTCAGTGTGAGTTGCAGGCAACTCGATGGCACATAGCAACAACATGTGATATTAACACTATGCTAGAAAAAAAAAATTTCCTTGTCGTTAGAAGGAAAGATTCCTACTAGGTATAAATCTTTGACAGTCATTTCCCCTCTGACTCTGTAGCCTTCCTAAGCCTGTTTGGGAAGGGTTAATTGGACCACCAGTGACAAAACTACAGTGACTTCAGGAACTTAAACCTGAAGTCACTTGAGAAACAGATTGAAAAGGAATTCAAAACACCACAAACATGTGGCAAGCTAAGAGAAGTTGTTGGAAGAAGACGGGTATGAGATTATCTGAGATCTTGAAGGAAAGTTGGAAAAGGGACAAAGTAGAGAAGGCAGAGGAGAACTTTTTTAGCGATGAGAGATTTTTGTTTAATTTCCTGGATTAGTTACTTTAAAATGGCAGAGGGTGAAAAAAAAAAATCACATCTGTTAAATTACTGCAAGAGCCTTTGTAATTTGAGACCCAATGATCTCCTGGGGGAAGGCAGAATGGGCCTAGATTTGTGCAAAGAGTTAAATCTCATGATGTGAACATGCTCTGAGAGGCCCCACCTGTGTGTACAATGTACTTAAAGGATTAGAGCAAACCTTGAAATTATGATATGTTTTACCTAGAGTAAGCACCTTATTCTTTAAGCTCCTATTTCCTCGAATTGGGGCGGGGGGGGGGGGCGGGGGTGAAGTGGGGTGGAGAAGAAAACCATCAATTCTCTCAACTAATCAGGTGCATAAGACACTCTACTTGTGGGGTTTAATGAAGGCTTAAGTGCAGGGGCATGAAGGACATTTTATGGATTTCTTTTTTCACTTTTAACACATTAATAAAATCTATTTTGAATACTTGCGACTCCATTGCAAAGGTGTCATTTGCAAGAAATCTGTCTGCTCTAGCTAAAGGTCAAATTTTCAGGGAGATGTCAGTGCCGGAGGGCAAGGGCGCAGCTATGGTGTTCTATTGGGAGATGAAAGGGAATGTCATGGAAATATTGCTGAGGTTTCCCTTCAGTCTTTGAGACGTGTGTAAAACATGCTAAGGCTTAAATGTATGCAAGACGTCTGACGTGAAGGGAGACTCTAGAGGTGCATATGGTTAATGTACTTAGCTGCAAACCCAAAGGCTAAGGGTTCTAGTCTACCCAGAGGTGCCTCAGAAGAAAACGCCCTTTCAATGGCTGAAAATCTTAGGAAGTACAGTTCTGTTTTCTCACACATGATGCTGCTACAAGTTGAAGATAACAACATGGCAACTGGCACTGGCTTTATTACTTAAATGGTACATGGGATTAAACTGCATACAGAAAGTTCTTTCCCTTCCCATGATTTTTCAGGGCCCTCCTCCTCCTTGTTGCCAAGGAGTCAGAACTAACTCATAGCTTACCTTCTATCAGGTTTTGAGAGGGTTTTCTCCCTCAACCGGGTGCCTTACCTTTAACAGTGAAAGCAAACAGCTACTGTTTAAACTATTTGCTTTTGGGTTTTTTTAATCTCCAGATTTGTCAAAGGAGCTCTGATTACCTATTGGGTAAAGAATTGTACTGCCGACCCCAAGGCAGGCAGTTCAAATCCACCAGGATTTGAGAAAGAGGACCAGTCTCTGCTGTGTGATTTACAGCATCTGAACAACCACTGGAGGTTCAGCTAGGAGTTGTTTTAACTCAAAGGCAATGAGGAGGAATAGACAGATATGTTGGGTAGGTTGAGTAGAATATGTACATTAAATGCAACAGTCTTTACAAAACAGCCACACAAAAATATTTCTAATAAAGACATAGTACAGTACTTTATTTTAAAAACACTCATATGTTGCAAAAAATACATAGAAAAATAAAGTTTGGTTGGAGCTACTTTCCTAGACTTCACATCAAGGCTTTTATGTTTACAGAGCAGAGCAGAATTTGTTATGTACTTGGGCACCCACCCTAATTTATTGAACAGACTGAAGCATACTCTCTGGGTGACACAGTAAATGTGCCTTCCAGATCACCTGTCACATACTGACAAGATTAGTCCTTCACAAAGTCTCCAAGTTCAATATAAGTGAGTAATTCGTTCCAGTGAGAGTAAAGATGTAGATTCACAATGAAAAAAATTATTAAACCACTCTTTTGTGTGTCAATACAACATACAAGGCAGTGAAATGCTAAACATCTGCAGAATCCCAGGTTGGAGAAATTCAGTTCAGAGAGTAGGGAGGCAGAAAGCAGTAAGTAGAGAAGCACAATGAAAAATCTTGTGGAAAAGGAACATTTCGGCTGCTCTGCCTTCTGAGTTACCTCGGGATACTTTCGGCGATACAATGCATTTAACAACATCTTGACATGGAAATGGAAAATGAGGTGGAACCAGCCAACTTCCTCTCAACTTGTCTTGGCAGTTTTGCCACCAACAGTAAACTGGTGCTTTTAGTAGGAGGAAATGGAAAGGTTTCTTGCTAAACTGAACTAAGTAGTGGGATCAAGAGACTTCCAGGCCTTAGAGTACCTCATCAGTAATTGGCTTTTAAATACTGATGATGCCTTTTCTCCACCAGGTCACCTGGTGACAAGAGGATGTGACACAGAAAAGCAGTCAGATCTCCCCTCTGCCTTCTTCTCATTCTCTCTGAAGCCACTAGTGACCCATTTTGGGGACCAAGACTTTTAAATAAAAATGTATATAGGAATTAAATAAAATTCCTAAAGCACTTGAGGGAGCTTGGTGGCCTAGTGGCAAGATGAGCTGCAGTCCTGAGGGCAAGAGGTTCAAATTTACCTACCAGGTGGTCCACAGGAGAAAGATGAGCGATCTGCTCCCATGTGACTAACTGCCTCTAAAAACCCAGTGGATGGATCAGTTCCAAGGACAATAACAATAACAACAACCATAACAAAATACTTGGATATTTTGGTTGTTTGTTTAGTGATAAAAGTCACAATAATGCTGTGTATTGAAGAACTTTCCTTCTCCTTAGCTTCTGTTTGCAAAACCCTTACTCCCTCCAACTTTCTCTAAGGAATGAGCTCTAAGACATGCTCCCAAGCCAGGGCTATATTTCCCTGTTCGCACCACGCAGTGCATCAATACTCAGTCCTGCATTTCACAATGTGTTTCTTAAACATTAGAGCCCAGTACTTTCTACCTCTTCCACCAGCTGGGGAGTTCAATTGAAAAACCTTGAATGGCTCAGGACGAGTCTTATCAAAGCAGCAGGGAGTGACCTTCTCTATCTGTCTGGTCTTTAAATAGGATTTAGAATTTAAAGCTGTGCATTTTTAAACTATTAAATAAGTACTGCTACTTTAACCAGTTTGAAATCCACCCTCCTCATACTTTTTGTTTTTTAAAAACTCACAGATAATGCTTTAAAAAAATATTAAGCCTCAGGTTAAATAAGAAAGATGGACATAAGGAGCAGCCATCTGAAAAGAATGGACTGAAAACAAGCCCTTTAGTGGGTAATTTATGTAGAAAAGAAGCAAAAATGGAGGGGGGGCAGTGAGTAGTAAGGACTTTACATTTAAGAATTAAGTCATGATGCAGTATGAATTATAGCACTATAATTCATTTACCACGAAACTTCTGAGTCTAAATTCTCATGCTCAGAACAGAGAAAGGTCCAGAATAGGCCTTCTTACCTTTTGTCAAAAACAATGCAATGAGCCTTAGTAGCCCAGCAGGGACCCTTCTGAAGCCCCTGGCTTGGACATGCCTGGGCTCTCCTGCCGGGACACAGTGCTCAAAGTCAGTTCTGTTTGTACAGCTTGTGTTAAGACCACAGCAAGTGGGTCTTGTTCTGGCCAGGCCACCCAGCAAACACTTAAGTTGGTGTGCTACTTGAAAAGAACGAAGCAGCAGCTGATACTGTCATCTCCCATCACTCATCTCCATATCCCGTGACCATCTGCTCTGAGCATGAGGAATTTCTCTCTGAGACTCCCTATATCTCTCTTACAGAGACAGAAAGAAACTGCTCACATTCCCAAGCTAATGTAATGTAGGCAATATTTTCACCTTGGCTGCCCTCACTCCCTGTGGATTTGCTCTTTGATAGTAGACAGTTTACAAAGAAGATGAAGAGAGAGGGATGAAATCCTCAGAAGTGATACAGAGAGCACATATAAAATGGTACAAGGTGTGCAAGCAGCACCCCAGTAAACTCCTCCCCTCTCCAAACAAGTAGCTAAAAGAAAAAAGGAAAAAAAAGGTTTATGTCAGGGGAACTGTTTAAATGATTCAAATATTCATTGTTCCATATCTTGCTTTGCCCACCAGTGAAGGCTCTTGAATCCCTGGCAAAACCTCTCATGGTTTTGGTCTGCGTGCCTCGCTCCCCAGTCTTCCCTGACGCTGGTCCCTTCTACTTCCCAGAGAGGCCCTTTTCGGAAGGCAGTTATGGTTCCCGTCTGATTGTCATCTGAGGGAGCATTACCAGAAAGCTGGGCTCCAGCTCCCCAGGCAGTAAAGGTAGGGGTAGTAGGGGTAATTGTTATACATGGAGATCAGAGAGGCCCTGGAGAAGCCCTCCTCTTTGAGGGCTGGCAGTGAGGAGTGCTTCTCCAGGTCTCCTAGCTCAGAGGTGAGCTGCTTCCTCTTGGTCTTATAGCGTCTGTTCTGGAACCATATTTTCACTTGGGTCTCAGTGAGCTTGAGGTTCTTGGCCAGGTGAGCCCTTTCTGGGGCTGACAGGTACTTCTGATGGCTGAACTTCCTCTCTAACTCGATGACCTGCGTGTGGGAGAAGGCCGCTCGGGAGCGCTTCTGTGGCTGCTTGGGTGCCTGTGGTGGGAGGTTTGGTAGGGTGCCTGAAGTGTTTTCACAGTCCAACAGATAAGGCTCAAAGTGCCTGTCTGGAAAGTGGAGGGAAGAAGGGGTGGGGAAGAGAGAGCAGAGTTACAGGTCAGCAGGGAAGAGAACAGAATTCAAGTTACTCTTATCTTTTCGGTGACTGAACAAACAGCCCACTGTCATCTTGGATACATTTCACTTTTTTCACATGAATAAGGAGCACTCCAGAGTGGAGAATGAAGAAATGCGGGCTTTGTGAGTTAGTTTCTAATAATCAGCAAGGACCCAAAATTAGAGGCATCTGCTTACGAAATAGAGACTCCTATTTGTATTGAGTTAGGAAGGGAGTTGGGAAGCAGAAAAAAACCTCTGAGGAGTAAGATATCTGGTAAAGTGGGACCAAAACACCAGGATGGGCAAGAGAGGGCTCACTGGCAGGGCAATGGCAAGGGTTAAGGAAGCAGCATAGTCAGTCATTCTCTTGCTTTCTTCCTCTTTCTCCTTAAGTTGCCTCATAAAAAGTGGTGGAAAGGAATTCAGGCTACTTTAAAATTTTCCAACTCTCCCGAAGACTAGAAAACTCAACTTACTGCAGCCAAACAAACTCCTAGCTGACCCTCCAGGGGGTTTTCAGAGCCTGTAAATCGCACGAGAGGAAACTACCCATCTTTCCTCCCACGGAGCCGCCAGAGGGGGATTAGAACCATCAGAGACGCAGCTTTTGGATAAGCAATTTAACTTCCTACGGACTAAGAGAGCAAAGCTCCCTTAAGGCCAGAAGGAACTCCCACTTTCGCTGTTTACGAGTTTAGAAAACAAACGGTGTTTGCTTTAGTTTACTAATGTATTAGTGATATCTTAACCACTGAGGGGTTACTCGGATCTGGAGATCGCAAGGGTGAACTGGACAAGGCGGAGTGGGATTTGCATCTCCTGCACTGGAGAACGGAGACTCTGCCAGGGGAGCAGAGCGCATCGCATCCTGTGAGTGGGGCCATATCATTACCTCGCACCTCCCGGGCGCTGGGCTCACAGAGAGCGAGTCCGGGGTGGGGGGGGGGGGGGCTGTAGCGCCAGGTCTCTGCTTGTCACAGCGGGGCCCAGGATTACTGCATTCCGAGGGCTGTGACCTCCACCCCCGCCCCAAGGCCCGGGCACCTTTGCAGGCCCCACCCCCAGGCCCGGCCACCGCTCCTTCAGGACCTTGAACCATCCGGCCTCGCGGCGACGTACCTTGCTCGGTCTCCACCAGGTTCCCCGACGCCCCGAGAGCGGAGCTCGGCTGCGCGCTCAGCTCGGCCTCCAGGACGTGGCTTCGGCTTCCCTCGGGCTCTGTCTCCCTCGTGGGCGGCGACTGGGACCGTGGCTCCGGGGTGTTAGTGTGGCGCCGCTCGGCGCCGTCCCTAAGGATGTCCTGGATGAGGAAGGAGGTGAGTGGCTTGGACTGAGGCGGCGGAAGGGTCTGAGGAAGGCGATCGGGGGTCCCCGCGTCGCCAGATCTCGGCTTTGAAGACGTGGACATCCTTGCGCTCCCGCTGCAGCTCCGTGAGGCCCACGGCGCTCCTGGCAGCAGGACGCACGGCCGCTCCCGGCGCCGCCTGCACTTGCCGCGGCTCCGGAATTTATAGCTCCAGGAAAAGCGGGCCGCGCCGCCTTCCCATTGGCTGGAAGGCCCTGGGCTGCGCTCAGGATTGGCTGCTGGACCTTCCAGGTGAAGGGGGCGTGAAGAGAGGAGGAGCCTCTTTGCGGGGTCTCTTTCCTATTCTCGTGGTGGTTTGTTCGTAAGTTTCCTTTCACCGGCTAGGAACGAAACCAAAAACGATCCTCCCCTGCCCAGATCCCACTTCAAAGTGGTGAGCTTCTCAGAAATAATGATGCAGAGAAATCCTCGGGTGAGCAGGGATTGGCCGAAAACATCTCTAATGCAGACTGGACAGTCATAGTCATCCTACTTTTCACGTGGCAATTCTGCGTCCCTGGTCATGTTAACAGAGCTTGGTGTCAATGCGGGATTTGCTAAATCCCAGCCTTTCAAAGAGACATGACAGCTAGGTGTAATATGTGACCCTAGACTGGATTTCTGCAAGTTGTTATTGGGTCAACTGAGAAAGTGGGATACTGCCAAGAGGAGTTAGTGTTATATTTACTGACGTAAACTATGCTGTAAGTATATATGAGAATATTCATAGGAAATTCTGTTCTGAGGAAACAAACTCTAAATTATCTGGTGTAAATTACAATAATGCAATTTTCCTTCAAATGGTTCAGAAACAATGAGATAGATTCTTTTTTATTATTATTTTATATTGGGGTGCATACAAAATTCGTATACATTGTGTTTCACACTATCCTTCTTTCACATTTTTTATTATACTGGTTTATTTACAAAATTCGAATACATTCACATTTTGTTTCATACAATCATTCCCATTAATGATATTTTGTAAAATTAATCACCATTGAGCTATGCACACCATTACCTACCGGATCTTTCCCATTTCCTTTAACCCCCTCCCCCCAAATTGTGCAACACTGTGATTTCCCTTCTGCCCATCCTCACCGCTCTGCTCCCACCTCTTCCCTCCTTGGACCTCAGTGCATGTTTTACTAGTGATCCTTCTAGATAAATACATTTTTTTACTTGGTGAATCAAATGGGTTGAAATGTTTACCCAATTTGAATCAATTTGGAGAAAAGATATTCTGTTGTTTGGTTAGGTTTTAACTATTTTGGGTGATGCAACTTTTCTTTAAGTCCTGATCCAAAAAATCTTTCATTACACTGGAAATTTTTTACAAGGATGGCTGTTATGTGTCTTGTGGGGAGGGAAAAGTTAGGGTAGGTTATTGGGAGCAAAGCAACCATCAAGGGAAACTGCTCTGTGCAGTAGGAAAGATTTTGGAAAGTTGTTTTTCATCTTTAATCTTTTCTAGGCTTCTTTTTATGAACTTTAAAAAAACCTTTTGTTTTGAAATAGTTAAAGATTCTGAGATGCTGAACTGTAAGAAGTGTTTTATATCATTACTTACTTACTGTGTGGTGGAATAGATCCTGACTCACAGCAGATTCTTCAATGGGTTTGCAAGAAGATTGCCCATCTTTCTTCTGCAAAGAGGCTGGTGGATTCAAACCACCTTAACATAAAGAAGAAAAAAAAATCCCCATAACAGGGCCAATTAACAATATAATGATAAACAGAAAAGATTTAAATTGTCAAGGTTTTTTAATTTTACTTGGATCTAGGATTTGTTGTTATTATTGTTATTAAGTGTTATCAACTTGAAGTGATCCTATGAACAATAGATCCTGAATCCTGCCCTATCCTGTGCCATCTCTGACATATTCAAGCCCACTGGGTTTTTTCATGTGTTTGTTTTTTTGTTTTGTTTGTTTTATTTTTCTACTAGTTTATCTACAAAATTCAAATACAAATTTGAACAAATTCTTTCCATTTCCCACCCATCAAATTGTACTACCTAATGATTAATCCCCTGCACATCCATATCTTTCTGCTTCCAGCCTCTCCCACCCCTCCTGGATCCTTATACTCATTCTACAATAATGGTTTTATACAATATTTATCCTTATGGGACTGAGTTAGTTCACTGAGCATAATGCTCTTCAGTCTCTCCCAAGTTAGATAATAACTCACAGTTATTGCTCCTGTGTGCTGCATAGTATTCCATTGTGTGAATGTACCATAATTTCTTAATCCATTCATTTGTGGTTGGACATTTGGGCTGTTTCTGTGTTCTTGAGATGGTGAATAATGCTGCTATGAACATTGGTATACAAATCTCAGTTTGTGCCTCAGTTCTCATATTTTCAGGGTATATTCCAAGTAGTGGAGTAAGCTGGATAAGATGGAATTTTTATGTTGAGCCATTTGAGGAAGCGCCAAACTGCCTTCCAGAATGGTTGTACCATTTTATAATCCCACCAACAATGTATAACAGTTCCTTTCTTGCTACATCCTCTCCAACATTTATTACTTGCTGCCCTGTTAAACTTTGCCACTCTTATTGGAGTGAGATGGTACCTCCTTGTGGTTTTGATTTGCATCTCTCTTATTGCCAGTGATTTGGAGCATTTCTTCATGTGTCTGTTTGCCATTCGAATATCTTCCTCTGTGAAAATTCTTTCCATGCCTTTTGTCCATTTTGTAATTGAGTTGTCAGTCTTTTTCTTGTAGAATCCCAGAAGTAGTCTGTAAACTTTTGTTATAAGACCCTTGTCTCAGATGGAATTACCAAATGTTTGTTCCAAGTCTGTAGGTTTTCTTCTCACCCTGTTGGAAAAAGGTTTTGGTGTTCACAGGGGTTTAATCTTTAGTCACTGTTTCAGTCCATCTCTTTGAGGTTCTTCTACTCCTTTGCTGACCCTCCATCTTCCCAATCATGATGTCCTTTTCCAAGGACTGACCCCTCCTAACAAGATGACCACAGTATGTGAGACAGAGTTGCACTATCTTCACCAGGGCTGCACTTTTTTGAAGACATATTTGTCCTTTTGGCCGTCCATTCAGCATTCTTCTCTGACACCACAACTCAAAGAAATCAAATAGCATACTGCACTGGGCTTATCTGTTGACTGAGTGCCTGTGCTGCAGAAGGCCTCTTTCAAGTGTGAAAAGGCAATGATGTCAGCGTGAGGATTAAAGGGTACCTTACCCAAGCTATGATATTGTTAATTGCCTCATTACATGTAAAAACTGTAAAGGTTTATGCATGTAAAAGTTTCTTTTCATAAACAAAGAAGAATGAAGGAGCATTGATACCTCTGAGTTGTGGCATTGGTGAAGAATATAGAATAAACCATAGACTTCCAAAAGGTTGAACAAATACACAGTGGAAAAAAGTTCAGCCAGGCTTCCTCCAACCCTGTGAACTTGTAATCAAGAGGATAGTCCATGAGAAAGGACATCATATTTGGTAAATATAAGGCCAGCCAAAGAGAAATACGAAATACCCATAATGAGGTAGACTGATATGAAGCTTCAACAGTGAGCTCAGTCATAGTAATGATTGTGAGGATTGTGTAGGGTTGGGTAGTGCTTTGCTATGTTATGTTGTTCACAGGGTCCTGATGAGCAGAACTAACAAAATAGCACCTAACAACAACAATTATTTACAGGACCTTACAAAACCAATACCTGCAGCTTCCCTTAGTGTTAAATATATAGCTGTTAACTCTTGTGTAACTGTTATACAATACCAAAACCAGGGAACTGACATTGGTATATTACTGTTAGGGACTCTGGTGGCCTAGTGGAAATCCCAAAGACACGGGGTTCGAGGTCACCAGCTGCTCTGTAGGAGGGGGATGGACAATCCATCCTGTGCAATTATCCACCTCTGAAAACCCACTGGAGGGTCAGCTATGGGTTGGTTCCGACTCTACGGTACACAACAACAACAGCATATTACTGTTAGTGGTAAGAAGTTGCATTGCAATTTTCAAGGCACATTGTTGGAATCCACCAGCTTCTCTGCAGGAAAAGGATGGGCAGTCTCCTCCTGTGTGATTAACTGCCTCTGAAAATCCACTGGAGAGCAGATAAGGGCTCGTTCTTACTTGGCACACAAAACCAGCAACATCCTATTACTGCTGTCAGGAAGGACCAGACCTTGGAAAAAGACATCCTGCTGGGTCAGCTAAATGAAGCATTCTCATAGGTTCCTAAGAGTTGTAGTTGACTTAATGACACCCAACAGTAACATATTTATTACTGTTAAGAAGACTACAAAAGATACTAACTTTTCACCATTTTTTTTACCCTGTAATTACATGTATGTATATATGGGTATGCTGTTTTTCCATTATCAGTACTTCTTGTTGTTATGTACCATTGAGGTGAAACTGACTCAAAACTAGCTCTCCAGTGATTTTCAGAGGCAGTAAATTGCATTAGAAGGGATTGCCCATCTTTATTTTGCAGAGCAGCAGGTGACTTTGAACAACATACCTTCAGGTTGGCAGCACAGTTTAACACTGGGCCACCAGAGCACCCTATATGGGTATTGCTTTATGTAATTGTTGTGATGGCCACAATCACAATGCAAAATTATTTCAACACCACAAAAAAAAAACCCTCTCAATTGCTGTACTTTGGATTTGAAGACTGGCTCTTCCAATTAAAAACCCTTCTTTCTGTTTCTGAACTACCAGCGGCCACTAATCTATCCTCTCCATTTATAGAATTTTGTTATTTGAAGAATGTTACATAAATGGAACCATATGATATGTAATCTTTTTAGTACTGGTTTTCTCCAATAAGCATTATGCTCCTCAGGTCCATTTAGGTTATTGCTTGCATCAAGAACTTTTATGTTTTTATTTCTAGGTAGCAAAGCTAGAGTGCTCCTTAGAAGCAAGTATGGTAAAACTTCATCTCACATATTTTGGGCTTATTATCAAGAGAGGGGGTCCAGTCCCTGGGAAAAGGCAACATGCTTGGAAAGGGAGAGGGTCATCAAGAGAGGATATGAAAAAAGATGGATTAGCGTAGTGGCGGCAACAATGGGCATAAGCACAGCGGGAATCACAAGGGTGGCACAGGATTGGGCACTTTGTTCTATTGTCCATAAGGCTACAATGTGTTAGAGCCAACTCCACAGGCATGTAACAATGGTGCCGTTCTTTTGACTGGATCTACAGAAATGTGTACCTTTATTTACCTACAGAAGGCCATTGGATTGTTTCTT